TCTGTAAGCTACTTGAACATAGTTGCAGACCAGGTTCACCCATTCATGGCAACAGTTTTTTCCTGCGGGGGATGGTGTTTACCAACAGGATAATGCACCATGTCATAAGGATCGAATCGTCATGGATTGGTTCGAGGAGCATTCCAGTGACTTTCAAGTTATGTCTTGGCCCCCAAATTCACCTGACCTTAATCCAATAGAGCATTTGTGGTCCTACTTGGAAAACCAAATTCGTGCTGCCACGCTACTCCCTAGCAATGTGCAGGTGAGCTCTTGGTACCAGATACCTCAGACTAACTATCAGCACTTTGTGGAATCAATGCCACAGCGGGTGCTAACAATTTTGAGGGCTAAAGGTGGTCCTACATGTTATTAGCTGTATATATATATACATACAAGATTCCCGTCCTTGTAAGTTCATCTGATTTCGTTACTCGCTTTAGTCCATTTTTATACTGTTTTTTATTTTATTTTATTTTCTGTTTATACATGTTATTTTTACTTATATGTTGTAATTTTTATAAAATTTTTTTTGAGTGCTCCTCACATAATATATATTTATTGTATTAATATATTATATGTGATTAATATATTTTGCTTAATTATATATTAATTAATATATTTTCATTTATATTATATTGATTGATTAATATATTTTGATTAATATTGTATTAATATATTTTGCTTTGGCTTTATTGATACAATATCAGAAAGCACTCTGTTTTGAGGATATAATCGTGTGGGCTGATGAAAAGATTATATCTTTTTTTCCGGTTTTATAAATAAATGTTTTTAAATTTTTATTTATTTATTTATTTTTTTTTTTAAAAACTGTTTGTTATTTTTTTTACTTATTATCCCCCCCCTTTTTTTTTTCTCATATGTCTATAATTTTTCTTTGTTTTATTTTACATTTGAACTACTTTCAAAATGTCGTCACTACATTTTACTTTTAGGAAATAAATTTTGCTGGAAGATTTAATGTACACTCATATTTATTTTTTAAAAAGAAGTTGAAGGGTGAAATGAAAGTTTGTATAATATGGTTTAGAATAATAAATGAGTCAATTCATTTCTTTTTTTACAAATTTTTTCATTCACCCTTTAACCTTTTATATCTTTCTTGACAGCAAATATTTATTTAAAGAAATTAAAAAGAAATTCAAATAGTTTCTTTTCCTTCCAAATAGTTTTATTTAATCAGACTAAAGTAACAAAGTTATAAATATTATTACAAGGTAAACAAATTAAACTATTCGTTAGTTCAAATCATATTAATTTTGAAAATTAATATTCAATAATTTATAACAGCTTAAGTTATAATTTATGTTTGGTGTAATATTTTATTTTATTATTTATTGAGAAAAATCAAATTTCTCGGAGTATTCTCATAGAAAAAGAAGCTCAAGAATGAAGAGAGATGATAAGTTTTGAATTTTTCGCATTTTCAACAAAATTACACGTTACGATATTCTAAATATTTTATCAAAAAGCAAAAATGTATTTTCTTCCAATCTCGTTGAAAGCATCTCGCATACATGAGTTATTTTTGAAAAGAGAAATATTTACTGATGGAACTATACAACTTGGGAAATATTGTAAAGTTGTTTTCACACTTTAACTGAAAAAGATAGGAATGAAAAGCAGTTTTGAAAAAATAGTAAAATTCACTGGGCACAAGGAAAAAAAACAAGAAATAAAATAAAATAAATTATTTGCTAAATACACATAGTTTTTATATTTCTACATTTTTAACTTTTTTAAACTGATATAGTTAATAATATAACAATAATAAAATCCAAGTATAATTATTTTGTTTTAACAATTTAGATAAAGTTGAGGAAAATAGTAATATTAATTAACTGGAAACTTTATTTCTATCATACTTTTATTTTAATATCTGATAACTTTATAAAAAGTTAAGTAATTGTAAAGTTAAAGAAGAAAGTTGCGTAGATTGTACCAGTTTTTCCATTTAAAATTTTATCAGTCACAATGAAATATAAAACATGTATTAGTATAATCAAATATAGTCCTTTAGTCTATTAACAATATCAGTATTATAAAATATAGTTATTCAACTAGTTAAAATAAAGAGTTAAAAATTAATTGTTCGTAAAAAATTAGTTGCTCTAAAACGTAGTAGTCTGCAAGTGATGTGATTTAGAAAACCGGTTGCCTAATGCACAACGCGGCAGGGCCGAGATGACCTGGATGGTAGGGTGTTTGGCCCATGTCCAAAGGCCTCAACATGTTTTTGTACAACAAATTTAAGAGTTAAAAATTCTGGAACTAATTACAGAATCTGAAATTTCTTTATTCCGTCTCGCTCTTTATACTTTTTTTCTACACGCTTTCGTAATTTCAAGTTTCTTATAGATTTTGAGCAGCAATGCAAAATGTAACGTTCAAAAAAAAAAAAAAAAAAAAAAAAAAAAAAAAAAAATTGGCAAAAAAATACTTAAAATTGCAAAAATTTTCAAACAAATTGGAATTTCGAGAAATAAATAAATAAATAAAATCTGTACTGAGTTCATAACCAAATTTGGCCTTTTCAGCATGTCAAATTTCAATTATGTGCTTGCATTTCTGTGGCCTGTATGGTATTTTCCCAACAAGTTCAACAGTTAATAATTCTCGAATAAATTTTTGAATGTTAATTTTTTTTATTATTCCATCTTAACTCCTGTACACTTTTCAGCACACTTTAGTAATTTCAAATTTCTAACTTTAACAGTTTTTGATTAGTAAAACAAAATGCGCCGTTAAAATTAGAGTACAAAACAGTGGCGGCGTACGATTATTTAATATGTTGAGAGAAAGCATTGAAGAATGCAACATTGCATTTTACAAATATTTCAAATTATGTCAACTTTCTTGAACATGCGAATTTTCAATTATGTTAATTTTTCCAAACTTTCATATCGAGTAAAATTAATTTTCTAGCAATATTGCACACTCTCTAAAAAATTCTCATAGACAAAAACCATGTTATTTAGAAAATAATTCCTAACAAATTCGTAATAAATTTAAATATTGAATTTTAAATTGAAACATGTAATTCCTTTTCTTACTTTTAAGTGCTCTGTTATAATTTAGTATGTTATTTAAATATCAGAAAAACTAGCAGTGATTTTTTTTTCGAAGTTTAAAATTTTGCCGAACATAGTTAATAATACAGTAGGTGGGTTCACACCGATCACAGTGCTGACGTAAAATATCCTCAGTGGTAAGCAGATCATGAGATAGAGTCCCCTTGCCATCAAGCTAACCAAGGGAGGTTTTCGTGGTTTACCTCTCCATGTAACGCAAATGCGGGTTAGTTCCATCAAAAACTTCTCCACGAAAGCAAATCATTCCAATATTTGCTCCAGGAGTTCCCTTGTTTTCTGGATTGAATTCAAAAGTTCGAGGCTACGGAGTTGAACATAAGTGGTCGAAAACTCAAAATTGGGTCTGCTGTGCAACGAGGGTTTTAAAATGAAATAAAATATGTCTGCACGAGTCGTGGTGGTTCAGGGAATAAAGTCTTTGACTCCCAATGAGGTTACCCGGGTTCGAATCTCAGCGATGGCTGGTCGATGCGAATTCCGCTTCTGGCTCGCACCGAACACAGTGCTGACTTAAAATATTTCCCATGGATAACGCATTATGGGTTAGAGCCTCCTCTTCATTAGGCTAACGGCTTACAGTGGAGGGTTTTCTTGGTTTTCCCCTTCATGTAACGTAAATGCGGGTTAGTTCGATCAAAATGCTCTCCAAGAAGGCTAATTTCTTCGAATAGTTGATCCAGGAATTTCCTTGTCTTCTGAATTGGGTTCAAAATAACTGGGATGTGATTGTCAACATTCACCGGTGAAAGTCAACAACCACTGATTTTGGTCATTAACAGTAACATGCACATCATTTACATAATAACCTCATCAGGACGCTTATTTCATAATTTGCCTAAATAGCATCTGGCATTATATAGAATGCCTAGTGTGAAATATAAATCATTTCATACTTTGTTTACTCATTATTTATTTATATATATAT